GGGCGGGGTGGGGGGGTGAGTGCTCGCACCTCAAAGGGGCATCCCGCCGGCGCATAGGCATCCTCATACTTGCAGCCGTCCAAGTGGGTGGCGCTCTTGCCCTTGAACTCGGGGTGGGTGCTGTCAACCCCCGAGTCGATGACGCAGACGAGAACGCCCTTGTCTATGACTGATTCGACCTCCTGCAGCTTCTTGCTGTCCGCCTGGACCTGCAATTTTGTTTTGGTGTTGAACAGTCCGAGACGCCGTCAGGTGCCTGTGCAGTATATTAGGGGCCAGCACCATGTCCAGGACCTATGGGTAGCTGGCATGCACCTGGAAATGCGGGTGGACACACCGTAAACCTGCCCCAGGCTCACCTGCGGGATGTGGTACGCCTCAATCTCGGGGAACGGCTTGTACCCTAGGGGCTTGTCACGCGCCGCGCAATCGACAGGCGGGCCGCTGTCGCCGCGCTGGCCGCTCTCCAGCAGCCAGCCGCCGGCGCCGGCGATGTGGGACGCGGACGCCTCCGCATCTGTGAGGTTGCCGTCCATGCTGGCTTGAATGCGGTCGGCCTCGGCGCTGGTGACGCCATCGAGTGACAGCAGGCTCGAGGCCTGCCCGCGGCCGGTGTGATGTGTAAAGCGGGTTGAGCGCGGGGGCCGACGTGTGAATCTTTTGGTGCTGATTGGTGAGGCGGGAAGCAGAGCAGATGCAGGGCAGGCGCGCTTCTTGCCCGCGGGGTGCGGGGGTGTCCGTGCAACAGCGGCACGGCTTGGTTTGGTCCCAAGGTCGCAAGCAGGCTGCTGCAGACCGCAGGGAGCCATGTGCTGGAGCGTCGCAGGCAATCGCAAAACGTTGTGGCTGACGGCCTCTGGAGCCTGCTGCTCGTTACTCCTCCCACCGCCTTGCGGATGGTGGGTGGGTTTGCTGCTGCGAACTTATTGCTGCCGTACTACTCAGCCGAAAAGAGGGAGGCGCACCGTGCTGCTGCGCGCCGCGCCGCGCGCCGCCTCCTTCGCCCCAGCATAGGCGGCCGCTGTTTCTGCAACACCCCAGGGCTCCACTGCAAAGAACCCGGGGCCGCGCAGCGCCACTGAAAAGCCGGCGGCGATGAGCTGCGCTTCAACAGCAGGGGCGTCGCCCGGAGCAAACGTCACCACGTGGCGCTCCGCCACGGCACTTGCCACTGCGAAAGCCAGCAGGAGGCCCATGCCGAGCAGGCTGCGCATTCCCCTCATCCTAGCCCCTGTTGGGCCCGCTGCCGCGAGTGCCCCTCGATCCGCGGCTGGGTAGTCACGGGTGATGTGCACTGTGACCGCCGCGAAGTACTCACAAAAAGTATTGTGTGCTATTTGTGACCATTCAAGGGGGCTGCGCGTGGGGAGGCAGGCAAAAGCCCGCCAGATCTTGCAGGTTCCTTGCACAAATGCGGCTAATCTCCGTGCTGGCTTATAATTTGTCATCAATGAGAAAATGTATATGTGAGAGGGTAGGCGCAGGCCAGCATGGCACCCCTGGCGAGCAGCTAGGTTGCGTCACTGGGAGTTTTTTGGAGTTACGCTAGCCCGGTGCACAGAGCGGAACCTACCCAGGGCCAGTCCGCCGATTTTGCTTCTCTTGAAGTTGGTGCATATAAAATTCGAGTATTTCAACGGTAAAAGCATGACAACACTGCCATCAGGAGCATGTTGGCTCCTTTGTACTCACAGGGAGACCGGGTTGCTTCACCTTCCTCCCCAAACCCACCCCCAAACAAGTGGCCATATGCCATCACAGCTGACAGCTAGGCATCAAACGCAGGTGACGCCCATTGATTTTGGCATAGATGGTTGTGACTTGCCAGAAAGAGGCGGCTACTAAAAACAAGTGGCCCGCTGAGGCCGCCATACGCGAGGTTGGGGCCAGGGTTGGGTTCGACTTCGTCCAGCACGCAACAACATGTTCCGTCCAGCCATTACCCTTGTGCATATCCATTGCTGCCACACTGCGAGGTCATGTAGGAAACCTTGAACAGCATGCACAGCACCGCACCCAGAGCCTGTGCAACCGTGGATCTGGCACACGGCAGCATGGAATGGCCAGGATAGTCTGCTGGATGGCAAGCACTATGTGTTAATGTTTTTGCAACCATACATACATCAGCTGCAGGGAGCTGGAACGATAGCACGGCGTGCGTTGCATGCAGCAGTCGATCATTAGAGCAAGTTTACGTGACAGTGCCGTGACACTCTCGGCCCACCTTGTTGTGTCGAACTGTTATGATGTTTATGATGTGAGAAAAAGCTTCACACACTATGATAAAATGCCTCCTACCCGCAGCACACATTAGGGCACGCCTGCGTGGGTCGAGGTTTCGATGTCGACGAGTAGAATGCTGAATGTGAGCCAGCGAACAAAACTACCTGGGCCCATACTAGAGTTACATGTTGTTTCACCTGATATGCCACTATATAAACGGCCAGTATCACGCGTTCTGGCCGGCCGGCATCTTCCACACGTTCGGGGCCTACACAGCCACCGAGAAGTGCAGGTACACAAAGTTAAACGATACTCAATACACCAGAACGAGTGCGGGCTGAGCACTGTGTGCTTCGCAAAGTGTTGAGGCAGCAGTTGTGCTCGTCTCTGGGGCACGAAGCATCATAGGAGTATTTTCCAGTCAGTGAAACCAGCTTTGTTACCGCCCGTTGTTCAAGCACTTGCACCGGCTGTGATCGCCCACGCCTCGACCCTCGCGGAGTAGCCGGGCTTCGCGAGCGTGCGAACGAAAAAGGTGAGGGGCGTGGAGTCTTGCACATGTGGTGCCGCGGGCGACGACATGGTGGTGGCGGGCGCCGCGTTCGACGCTTGCGCCACGAGCGGCGGTTCACTCGACACACCGGGCGTGACCAGCTCACTTGGCCACTCACCCGCCCCACGCGCCACTCTTGGCTATTTCTCGACATCTGGTCGCAATGATCCAGGCGTCGCGGACCGATCCGGGTGTCGCGGACCCGCCCGGGTGCGCAGCCTTGATCGGCGCGCGGAGCTGCGCGGCGACGTCAGGCGCGTGGCGGGCGCTGCGCCGCAGCGCCGCAGGCGCGGCGCCCTCGCCGCGGCGAGCGGCGCGGGGGCGCTCTGCACTATATGGAGGAAGAATTGAGCGATGCAGAGAGGGAGCGGTTGAAGCGTCAGTACCGGTGGGCACATGCACAGCACATGCATGGCGGCGCATGCATGGGCGCCGGTGCAGGCCCCGCACTTCACAGCCGCCCCCTCTGCCGCGTATTGCATGCTTGCGCTTCTGCAGCGGACCACCGCTCGCCAGCGTCGCCGCCGCGTTCCATCTGCGCCACTGCGCCGCGTCGGCCCGTCGCCCACCGGCCCGTGCGCCCCGACCGTCCACACGTCCCACGCCCTCCTCGTCCCATCTCTGCTGCAGCGGCGTCTTTTGGGACAAGAAGACGCGCCGCTGGCGCTGCCAGCTGGGGTACCAGTCCAAGAAGATATTTTTGGGATACTTTGACACGGCGCAGGACGCTGCCAAGGCCTATGACAGAAAGCTCGTGGAGCTGCGGGGCGCAAGCGGTGCGCCATGGATTGTTTGCCCGGACGCGCGGGCGGGATGGCCGCGCGCATGGCGGCTGGCGGCCGGTTGGGGGGAGGAAGGGGGTCGCTGCCCGGGGGGCGTGCGGCTGGCGCTCGGCAAGGGACGCCTCCAACTCGCCGTGTGTGGGTGCGGCGCAGCCCCTGCCGAGACAGCCCCAAACCACCGCCCATGCTCGACACCCCGCGCCGCGCGGCGCTCCGTGCTCTGACACGACCCCGGCCGCTTGGCGCCGCCTCCCGCCCGCGCTCATACCTCGGCCGCAGCGCGCACAAACTACCCCATTACCGAGTACCTGCAGCTTCTGAACGCCGCCCCCATCGGCGGCCCCGCCCCCGGCCCCGCCGCCGCGTCGCCGCACCCCTCCGGCGCGTCGCTGCTGCACTCCCTGGACGGCCTCGACGACGGCGGGGGCGGCAGCAGCATGGGCGGCGCGGCCGCGAGCAGCGGCGGCGGCGCGCCGGCGAGCGGGTCGTATGCTGACCACTTGGCCATGCACCAGGACCTGGGCGGCGTCAGCATCGGCATGGGCGGCGGGGCAGCTTCCGCGCAGCTGCTGCAGCAGCACCTGCTGAGCACGTTGACCGGCAGCGGCGGCGGCGCAGGCTCGGCCTCAGCCGGCAACGTCGGCGGCGGCAACGGGGGCGGCGGCGCCGGCGGTGGTGGCGGCGAGAATTCCCTGCACAACCAGCTGCTTAGGCGGCTCGACGACGCGGCAGGCGTGCTGGGCGCGATCTCGGGGTCGGGCTCCGACCCAGGCCGCGAAATTTCGAGCTCCTTCGGGGGCGCGTGCGGCACCGGGCTGGGCGCGGCGTCGGCGGCCATGGTGATGGCCGCCGGCCTCGGCGGCGGCGGCTTGATGGGCGGGCTGGACGGGGGCGGCTTTGACCTCTCATCCGCGGGCCTGGCCGGGCTCGGCGGCGGCGGCGGCGGCGGCGCTGCGCCGTCGTCGATGGTGGGCCAGCTGATGGAGGAGCTCGCGGCAGCTGAGCAGGCGCGCCGCGCGCAGCAGCAGCAGCTGGACGCGGCGGTGGCGGCGGTGCAGCAGCAGCAGCAGCAGCACCAGCAGCAGCAGCACCAGCAGCAGCAGCAGCAGGCGGGGTACGGGGGCATGGACCACGACGGCGGATGCGGGGAGCTGACTCAGCACCACGTTGGCGGCGGCGACGACCACGGCGGCGCCGGCGGGACACCCGTGTCACTCGAGCAGGCGACCGCGGCGCTCGTTGCCGCCGGCGGTGGCGCGGCGCCGCCGGGCGGCGCGGGCGGGTTTGGGAGCCTGCTGGACGCCTTCTCAAGCGGCGACGACCCGTACGGCGCGGTCGCAGCCGCGGCGGCGGCGGCTGGCTACGGCGGCGGCGGCGGGCTGGGCGGGGGCCTTGGCGCCTACAGCAGTGCGCTCGCGCTGGACCCTTTCGGCGGCCTCGGCTCGATGCCTGTGTCGATGCCGCTCCCCGCCCTCGACCCCCCACCCGCACCAAGCCCGCCGGCGGCGGCGGCGGCGCCGGCGCGCGCGGCGTCCGGCGGCGGGCTGCGGACAAAGGCCGCGCGCGGCGGCGGGGGCGGCGGTGGCGGCGGGGGCGATGGCGCGGAGGCGCACTCCTTCAGGGGTGTCTTTTGGGACAAGAAGAGCCGCCGGTGGCGCTGCCAGCTAGGGCACAAGAACAAGAAGATATTTCTTGGATACTTCAACGACGCGGCTGAGGCGGCGCGGGCCTATGACGCAAAGCTGGTTGAGCTCAATGGCGCAAACGGTGCGTGTGCATGTTGACGTGTGTGACAGTGTGTGTGTGTGTGAATGTGTGTGTGAGAGGCCATGCGTGTGTGCGTGTGCATTCGTGTGCGTGCGCGCGTATGGTATGCGTGTGTGTGCACATGCGCATGGGTGTGTGACTGTGCGCGCGCGAGAGAGAGCGACGGAGAGTGTGTGTGTATGTGTGTGTGTGTGTGTGCGTGTGTGTGTGTGTGTGTGTGTGTGTGTGTGTGTGTGTGTGCGTGTGTGTCTGTACATGCACGCTCGCCTGCGCATGCACGTGAGTGCTTGGATGGAGGCTGGCTTGCCCGCAGGCAGCTGGCTCGTGGTGCTTTGCTTGTGCACTGCGTCCACCTGCACCCTCACCCGCGCCTGCAACATCTGCATGCCTGCGCTCAAGCTGGGACCCCCTGCACCGCCCGCGCGCGTCGCGCACTCAGCACCCCGCATGGCCCCCTCACCCCTGGGCCCCTGAACAGCACTGGTCTCGAGCCTCACCGCCCCATCATCTCTGCGAACCTCATCGTCACCCACGCCCTTCCCTGCACCCCCACACGCCCCACAGCCAAGACCGATTTCCCACCCTACCCCCACTCCAATCCCCCACCCCGACCCTCAACCACCCTGCAGCCAAGACCAACTTCCCGCTCCACGACTATCTGGTGCCAACCAACAACAGCACCCGCGGCACCAGCGGCAGCATGGAGGCAGTCCAGTTGGCGCAGCGCCCTGTGCCGCTGCGCAGCGGCAGCGGGGCGGGCGGCGGCGGCGGCGGCGGCGCGCGGCACGGGTACGGCGACCTCGGGGGTGGCAGGTGGGCGCCGCGGCAAGTGGGGGCCTCTGTGAGATGGGGGTGGGGCTGGCGCCCTTCCCGGGGCAGCCCTGCGGCCCCTCACAGCCTGCCGCTGCTGCTGGTTGACGGTGTGCCGTGTTGATGCAAGAATTCGTGCACTTGTGCCAGGGGTGCAGCCATGTGTGAGGCCCTGCGAGGCGGCACCTAGGGCGTCCAGGTCACTGCAATGTCTCTGCGCTTCCAACGTGTTGGTGTGTGTGCTGGAACCGCGGCCGCGCGGGCGCCATGCTGATGGTAGCGACGGCGCGTCACTGGACGCCCGCTCGCACCGCCAACCCCGCAGGGCCGACACTTGGGGCACGGGGGACCCCGCGGAGGACGCGGCTGCGGGCGACGACGCTGCAGCCAAGCGCCGCCGCCTCAACGGCGGTGCCGGCGACGGCCCCTTGCTGTTTGGGCCCTCTCTGCTGGCAGGGGACAACGTGCTCGCGGCAAGCCTGGGCTTTGGCGGGGGCTTGTCCGGCCTGGACGGCGGCGGCGCGGGGCTGGACGGCGGCGGCATGGGATTGGGCGCCGCGCGCGCCGGCAGCGGGGGCCACCGGCTTGTAGAGACTGGCCCCGGCCTGCTGGGCTCGGGGCTCTCCCGGGGCCCCAGCGGCGCGCCGCTGCCGCCCGCCCCGCTCAACGGCGGCGGCACCGCGGGCGCAGCGGCGCGCGGGCTGCTGCCGCCGCTCGCGCCGGGCGGGGCGGGGGGGCTCGCAGCGTATGGAGGCGGCGCGCTTGGCGGCGGCGGCGGCGGCGCCGGCGGCGGCAATCTTGACCGCATGGCGAGCAGTGAGGTGCGGGCGGTGCAGGCGCTGTCTGGATTGCTGGGGGAGGTCTTCCAACCAGACGGTGGCGGCGGCGGCGGTGGCCTCAGCAACGGCGTCGGGGCCGGGGGCGGCGCGGGGGCCGACGCCCTCTCCTGGGGGCTGCAGCGCGGCGCCGGCGCCGGCGCTGGCGCACTCGGCGGTGGCGCGCTCGGCGGCCAGTTTGGCCAGTTCTCGTCGCAGCAGCTGTCGAGCGTGCTGGCCCGCAG